TTAGGTTAGTAAAAAATAATGGTCATGATGCTTTACATTAAGGATAGTTGCTTATTGGTAGTTAAAAATTTCCAAATTCATGTTCTCTTTTCAGCCTGACTTCTATGTGAATCCATCCTAATAAATGGGGACACAAGGGCCGGCAAAATTGATGGCCCTAAGCTGCATAACTGAGGGTAGGGTTCAGCTCCCTGTTTGTATTTTGGGCCTCCAAGCTTAGAGCTTTCCCCAGTACGTGAAAGCTCCCCTCCTATTGTCTGAATGTAATTTAAAACCTGACCAAAGAGAAACAGAGACCCAGCACCCACCTCCATCCCAAGGAGTATGTATCATTTAGGATAGACTTTAACCTAAGCAGTGGTTCTTGACTCTGACTGCTTTAGGATCACCTGAAACAGTAGTCCTTGAACTTTATCCTGAGCAGCTTTCTGAAATGTAAGTTCTGATCCACTAGTTCTAGGGCAAGGCCTGAGGTTCTCTTAACAGTCTTCCAAAAAATGGTGACTCTGCACAAATCTCACTTTGAGTAATAAGGACCTAGTGACCTTTTAACAATATTGAATCCAGGGCCCCCTCTCTCAGAGATTCTGACTTTTAATTGGTCAGGATGATGAATAACTGCCATTGGTAGTTTTTAAAGCTTCCCAGGTTACTCTTAAGGGCAGAGAACCACTCTCCTAGACATACACCCAAGGTATAGGGGTGAAGATGTTCTCAGGGGTTCTCAAGCTAGGTCCTTTGACAAATGAAAAGGTGGGAGGTGCCGAGAATTCCTTCAGTGTAAGAATTTTTTAAAAACTAAAATTCTCAAAGGGATACAGGAAGGATTAAGAACCGTAGTATTAAACTTGTATGTGAGTGGACGGTTCTCTTTTCTTAGATCAGAGGTTGGTTGGTGCTTATTTTAATAAGCACACTGAGCACCTTCATCAACAAGGTAGACAAGTGATCTCTGCAGGTGGAAAGATAGCCAATAACTTAAATGGCTATAACTCAGCATGAAAAAAGTACTGTAGTAGGGATTTAAATATTTCTCAAACAATTTAAGCAGCAGTCTTTGAACATTTACAAGTGTGAAAATACATTTGGCTATTAGGTGATATTTCCATTTTCTTGCCTCTAGTATCATAGAGATATTTACAAAGTGCCCTGAAAAGGAAAGAAAGAAGAGAATAATTCACCCTGTAGGAATCTGAGGGGTTCTTAATGGAAGAAACATTTAACCTTGACATCCAGGGGTAGGTAGGACTTGAATCAGGCAAGGTTGAGCGTCAAGAACTGAGCAAATAACTCACCAAGAATAGGAACAACCTCTAGATTTCCCTGAAGGCTTAGATAGAAAAGGTGAGGTACTTTGGGCAAGTCATCTTAAGGCCAGCAAGTGGACATCCTTCCATACCAAGCCAGATTACCCAAACCCAGGTGTGCAAAATAGTGTTTTCTTTTTCACCATTTTTCTTAAGCGGTATAAATTCTGTATAATTCAGTATGAAAAAGGAAAATACAGATACTGTACACAAAATAGGGAACACCATCATTCAATCCATTTAAATAATGCTCCAGTGAGCACCCCTTTATGTACATTCTGGCATACTTGTCATATCTTTCTTTTTTTTTTTTATTTGGTACCAGAGATCGAACTCGGGTCCTTGCACTTGCGCAGCAGGTGACGAAACCACTGAGCTAAATCCCCAGCCCATATCTTTCTTAACTGTCTAGAAGTAGAACTGCAAGGTCCAAGAGTATGCACTTTTGGAGGGCCTCCCAGGTTGCTCCCCAAGAAGTGTCCCAGTTTCTGACCCTTCCAGCCACATGAGAATACTGCAACAGTGGCATTTTAATATCTAAAACTGGTAGCATCATCTGGTTGTAGTCATGAGTTCTAAGCTGAACTTGAATTGCTTGTGGTTGCCAACTTAAACATTCAAATATTCTAGCATATTATAGAGATATTATTTGCCATTTTTCTCTCTCTTGATCCCTCCTCTAAGATAAAAAGGTTTAGGGCTGGGGATTTAACTCAGTGGTTCTGCCACCTGCCCCGCAACCATAAAGTCCCGAGTTTGATCCCCAGCCCCCCCCCAAAAAAAAAATTAAAAATAAGATAAAAAGGGTTGTAGTTGGTTGATAGTATCTTTGTGTAAGGATTGCCTATTTTTGCATATTTAAAAATTCAGGTTTTTCTTTCCTAAACAACTTATGGATGGCCATGTATGCCTGTAATGGAGAATTCGTCTTCCTTAAATTTTGGTTAACTGGAGTTCACATATAGAGAAAACTTAGAGGAAAAGAGAGGGCAGTGCTCATTTCTTAACATGAAGCACATTCTAATAGCTGACAAATGTGTGTTTTCTAAGGATGCTAGCAGGGAGGGCTTGGATCTTTACATGGCTGGTCAAGTGGAGGAAATCCTCTGATGGAGAGAAATCAGACATTGTAAGCAGCTCACAACCAATAGACTCCATTGCTGTTCTAAAAGAATACAGATCTGGGGCTGGGGGTTTAGCTCAGTAGTTCCACCGCCTGCCTCACAAGTGCAAGGATCCGAGTTCAATCCCCGGTACCAAAAAAAAACAAAAAAGAAGAAGAAGAATACATATCTGTTTGTTGTTGGTTCAAGGCAAGCCTAGACACTGAAACCCTTTCCTTTGTTCATGCAGAGGATTTCTCTGGAGGGATTTCAAGGAACTTGTGGTAGCAGTTATCCCATGGAAGTTGGTGTTAGGAAGATTTATTTCTCTGAATATATACCTATTTGTATTGTTTAAATTATTCACTGTGTAGGTTTTACTATTCATGTATGTATGTATGTATGTATGTATGTATTTATTTATTTATTTATTTTTGGTACCAAGGATTGAACTCACAACCTTGCACTTGCAAGGTGCAATGCCACTGAGCTAAATACCCGGCCCTAGGTTTTACTTTAAAAAAAATATGTAGGCTTATTATTTTTTTTAAAAACTTTACTTCCCCATGGTATGAAAGATGTTAACTTTAGGAGAAACCAAGTGAAGAGTATATGGGAACTCTCTGTAGTATCATATGTAAATCTAAATTTATTTTTAAAATAAATGATTTTTTGGAAGGACAGAGGAGAAAAAATTCCATCTTCCTATGTGGAATCAGATAATGCAATTTTCTACATTCTGTTCTTTGTGTGTGGTACTAAGGATGGAATCCAGGGCCTTCCAGCTGAGCTGCTTAACCACCCCCCTCCCCCTTTTAATTCTAAGACTGGGTCTTGCAAAATTGCTCAGGCTGGCCTCAAACTTGAGATCCGCGTGCCTTAGCCTCCCAGAGTGCTGGGATTATAGATGTGTACACCTTGCTAGAACCTTAAATTTTTTAGCCAGGCATGGTGGCACACACCTGCAATCCCAACTACTCAGGAGGCTGAGGCAGGAAGATTGCAAGTTTGAGCCCAGCCTGGGCAATTTAACGAAACTGTGTCTCAGAATTAGGGCTAGGGATGCAGCTCAATGATAGAGTGCTTACATAGCTTGCATATGGTCTTGGGCTCAGTACCCAGCACCCACCCATCCCCAACATACACCTTTTTTTATGGCCTTTTTTTTTCAATTTGTAGTCCAGGTACAGATGCAAGTGAGTGTGCATGGGGCTGTAGCAATAAGGTGATGATGGATCAAGAGGCTGGAGCCAGTGGAGGGAGAAAATAAGCATCTGAAATAAAGCACCAGTAGAGGGTAGAGACAGGAGACAGATGCAGAAATGCAATTAAGTTGGTGATTCATGATACAAGTTCCTTCTTCAGACCAGGCAGAAAGAAGACAATCTGGCAGCTCTTCTAGTCCCTTGAATGAGTGAAGTGCCATTATTAATGATGGGAAGGAGATGCTTTGGTGGGCGGAGTTCTTGAGATCATAAGTCAGTCTTGCTTGCCTTGCATTCCCAGGTGCCTCTCCTCTGGGCTAGGCATTTTTCATGGCTCTAGGGACACAGTCCCCACTCTTTCAGGGATTATATTCAAGAGGAGAGGACATGTAATACACAGTGAAACATACCTATCCACATCATACATGTCAAGCAGATAAGACCACCAATAGATATAAAGTGTAGAGTAAGGGACTGGGAAGGAAGTAGATGGGACCCCTGAGGATGCTATTTCAGATAGGATGGATGGACAGTGAAGACTTCTCTGAGGAGGTGACATGTGAAAGACACCTGGATGAAGTAAGGAGTAAGTGAGCCATACAGATATCTGTGGCATTCTGCAGAAGTAAAAGTAAAGGCCTGGAGGGCAAAGAAGGGCTTGCTGTCAAGGTCCATGTGGCTGAAACTGAGTGAACAGGACAGAAGGAGGTGATGAGGCCAGTTCTGTTTTGGAGAACGCCCATAAGAAAACATGTTGGCAACACTGGAACTTCCTGACGAAGTGAGCCTGTTGCTATAAAGAGAATAGGAATGAATGGAATATTGTGGAGATTTTCTTTCTGCAAGCTGTAGTGAAGAGTGATATACTATGAGCTTGGTTAAAAGAACAGTGATCCAAAAGTGAGGATGTGTGGCTCCCATGTGACAGTCTTCCATTTTGCCTAGATTGCCTAATTGACCCACTGTGTGACCATTTCTGGAAATGCATATGCTCTTGGGGGCATGAAATTGTTTTCCTTGAAGTGACTGCTCACATCTTTATTTTTGAGAAGTAACTGCCATATCCAAGTCCAAAGATTGTCAGGTCTTCCATTTGCTTTTAAGAGATAAGATCTCATTATATTGCCCTCTATAGCCTCAAAGTCCCAGACTGAAATCATCTCCTGTCTCAGCTTCCCAAGGAGCTAGAACTCGGGCATATGCCAGCATATCTAGCTGTTAAGGACATTTGGGAGGCAATGTTTATAAGGGCCTCAGGCTTCCCAGAATGTGAGGTGATCCTAGGTCAATAGAAGCAGATATGGGGGTTGTATGATTTAATCAGCTCTGAAGAGAAGTTCACTTCTTTCCCGCATGCCAACTGTAGCCCCTCTTGTTCCAAGCAGGTTTGGCTGCCATGGTCTCTGCTACTTCTTTCTCTCATGTATCAAACAAGCGCCTTCTATGTCCCAGGGGTTGCGCCAATCAACTTCCACCAGAACGACCCTGTAGAAATCAAGGTAAGTGTGGTCCTGGATCATTGGAGCCTCTGTGTTGAGCTGTTCATGTCTGTCTTGTGGTTGAAGAGGACACAGACCAGTTCCAGTTACTCTAGGAACAAGAGGGCTCACTGCATTCTCTGTGGCTAGCAGTAGAGTCCCCTCAGGGGCCTGTGGTCCTAGAACTCTGCCTTACCTCTTCATTTCTGTTGCTGTGCTGCTGGCTCTTGCTGTGTCTGTCTGTCTGGCTCTCTTTCTGTCTTTCAGGTATATGTCCATCTCTAGCTCTTCCTACAGTTCTGTCTTACTCAGCTTGCCTCCTCTCTGGTTTTTCTGTGTCCCTCTTCATCTGCTTCTTCTTCCTATTACCAGCTTTCTCTGTTTAACTCATAGCATCTGCTCATATGGTTCATATATTTCATATACTGTAAATATCTCTCTTCCTTGGTGGTCAGACTTATAATTTGCAGAGACATTAATTAAAGGAAAGTTTTAAATAAGGATTGCAGGAGCTGGGGACTTAGCTCAGTGGTTCTGCCACCTGTCTCGAAATTGCAAGGTCCCGAGTTCGATCCCTGTACCAAAATAAATAAATAAATAAGGATTACAGACCTAGAATTCGAAAAATTATTTACACTTTTAGATGGTATATGAGTAGTAGTAGGTAGTTCATAAATAGTAAAAATACTTAGCTAGATTAAAATTTTGTCTGGCAACATTTTCATTGGTTCTATATTATCTATAATTTTGAGGTTTTCTGAGACTGCGGCCCTTTCCAAAGCTATATTCTTTATGCTTGGATCATTTCCTAAACATCCTTCATCATCTTCTTAAACCTTGCTTTTTGGAGGATTTGTTAGGTTTAGTTTTTTTGCAGTACTGAGGATTAGACCCAGGCCCTTCACACTGAACTACATCCCCAGCCCTTTTTTTATTTTGAGTCAGGGTCTTGGTAAGTCACTAAGTTGATCATGCTGGGCTTGAATTTTCAGTCCTGCCTTAGCCCCCTAGAGTGCTGCAATTACAGACATGCACCACCACACCTGGGTTTAATCTTGTTTTTATTTTATTATTTTTTAAAACTTTTTTAATGGCTATACAATATTTAGTTGAATAAATTATGTTTTGTTGATCAGTTTCCCATTATATAAGCTTTTATTGGTTTTTGTTTTTCCACTCTTTTCTCATTTAGCAGATATTTAATGAGCACCTACATTGTCTCATGCTAAGACACAGAGATTATACAGATGACCCTCACCCTTGTGAAGCTTAAATTTTAGCTCTTAGCTGGGCATGGTGGCACATGCCTGTAATCCTAGCTCTTGGGAGGCAGAGGTAGGAGGATCACCATGAGTTCAAGGCCATCCTAGGCTACATGGTAAGTTCAAGGACAGCCTGAACTACATAGCAAAACCCTGTCTCAAAAAAAAAAATTTTTTTTTTTAGCTTCTAGTGGGAGATACTTTTAGGGTTTTTTGTTTATTTTCTTTTTTTGCTACTGGGGATTGAACTCAGGGCCTCACACATGCTAGGCAAGCACTCTGCCACTGAGCTGCATCCCTAGCCCATTTTACTTTTTTATTTTGAGACAAGGTCTCACTAAATTTTCCAGGCTGACCTCAAACTTAGGATTTTTCTACCTCAGCTTCCCAAAGAGGTGGGTTTATAGGGGTGTACCACCACCCCTTACTTGGTTGTAATTTTATTTGTTTTGTTTTGTTTGTTTTGAGACAAGGTCTCTCTATGCAGTTCAGGCTGGCCTTGAACTCATTATGTAGCCCATTCTGGCCTCAAACTAGCCCCCTGCCTCAGCCTCCTGGGTGCGCCACCGTGCCCAGTACTTGGTTGTAATTTTAAACTAAATCTTTAATACAATATAAAACTAATGAAAAGTAAAAGAATCAAGAATTGTGCAGAGTACATAGTATGCTGTAGTCATGTCTGCTACAGTTATTTTGTCTGTTGAATAGTGTTACCAAGTGTTCTAGACATTTGGGTACCAGGAAGGATTCTTGGAACAGTGGTCTTGGTTTCTGCTGAATTGAGGAATAATAGCCTCTCATCCGACCAGGCTGTGAAGCTCACCAGCTCTCGAACCCAGCTACCTTATGAGTACTACTCATTGCCCTTCTGCCAGCCCAGCAAAATAACCTACAAAGCAGAGAATCTGGGTAAGTTCTTCTCTCACCTACTTCAGCCTATCCCATAGGGAAACCCAGCATGATTTTCCTAATGATGATACCCTTGTCTAGCCATTGCTATTATGCTAGACACTGTTGTATACATACAGCTTATATGCCTATTAGCTGATTTCATCCTTGTAATGGCCATGGCAAGGTGGTTGCTGTTTTTATTCCCATTTTGCAGATTGTTTTGCCTTTAGCTGTATTATTAGTTAATGGCTAAGCTGGGCTTGGAGTCTATGTGGTCATTCTTCAGAGATTTTATTCAAACTGGTGCTCTCTTGATTTCTTGAATCCCTTTCTCTGGTAGCTTCTGTCACCTGCTATGCCTTTAATTGAAAGTGCTAGTGATTACCTCTGCCCTAAACCAAGTAGAAAGATCACTGTATTTGCTAAGCTGCACAAGATTTGCATTAAATAATATGTGAAGCACTGATACAGTGTCTGGCACAGGAGTTCCACAAATAGTGGCCATTTTATTCTAGTTTAAATAATTTTCCATTTGGCAGAATTTTAAGTTTAAAGGAAAAGAGGCATCCATTCAGGACACAAGTATTAGTGCTTCCTCTCTGCCTGTCTTACCTTAAGTCCTGAAGAAAAGAGTGTGGACAGATGCCCTCCCTGAATTCAAGGACCTTGTAAGACTTTACTCCTTTCTTATACCTAAGAAAGGAGAGAACTTGTTCTTGGCTAGGCCCCTGAAATGACTATCTTCTCTGTTCAAGGCTCAAATGTTTCTAGAACCCTTGTCTGACAAACATCCCTATTGCCAGCTATTGGGATTTCATACCAACTGGGACAGGCCTTCAAGCTAATTTAAGCAAGAGCAGGTATCACCACCTTCCTTAGATACCCCCATGCATGAGCCAGACCCTATTCCAAGCATTTGTATGGTTTACCTTATTTAATTCTCACAACACCCTGTGAAGCAGATTCTTTTACTTTCTCCTTATTAGAGAGAAGGAAAATGAGGCACAAGGCGATGATATCACTTGCCCCAAATCACTCACCTAGAAAGTAGCAGGACCCTAGGGTCTCCAGGTCCCAGGTTTATACCCTTAAGCACCACACTCTTTACACTGTCCTGCTTGATTCTTATCATAGCTCTGCCAGCTAAGCACCATTGCCCTCATGTCATAGCAGAGGAAACAGTAACTAATAGGGGAAGAAATAGAGATTTTTAACTACGGCCTCTGGTGTTCTGACTGCCTTCTCCAGAAGGACTCACTTTAGCTGTAAGGGCTGTGCTTGTAACTGTCACATTGATGGCAATTCATATCATGGTGTATGTGTTGGAGCACCTATCGCAGGGATGCTAGAATATGACAGCAAGTGCTCTTGGGAGGGTCCATGTCATGGCTTGTGGCTTGATGAAGGAATACTTTTGGCTAGGCATGGTAGTGTGTGCCTGTAGTCCCAACTACTTGAGAGCCTAAGGCAGGAGGATATCTTGAGCCCAGAGTTTCAAGGCCAGCCTGGGCAACACAAGAAGACCCTGGTTTCAAATTAATTAAACAAATATATATATATACATAATACATAAATGGAATAGTTCTATATTAGAAATGAGCCATTCTAGGTAAATATGTCCTTTTTCTTGGCTTAAATTTAATTTCTCATTTCTAAATATCAAGAAATGATACCACCCCACTTGTTCTGCAGCTAGTTTCTCTCTGCAGTTCCTCCTTTCCTTAAGCCAGTTTCTGTTGACCTGCAAAGAAGCTGGCAGTAGGACATGTGAGAAAAGAGCCCAGGGACCTGATGCTACTACAGTCCCATTGGATGACCAGTCCCTCTTTGGCCCTTAGCTTATCATCTGTAAAATGCCATTTTGACAGTGGGTCATGCAGGTGTCCTGTTGATGTCCCTGCTCCCCGCTGGTCAATCCACCCATGGGCTTTTCAGGCTCATCTTCACTGCCAGGCTTCTGAAAGTGGTGAAGTGAGGAGAGGCCTTCACCCAGGTCCTTTTTACCCCCTCCTTTTCCTGGGTAGCCTCATCCACATTTGAGGCTTGTTTGCCACGGCTGCTACTTTGCACAACATGATGCTGCCACTGCAGTGGTGCAGCTTGTGGCCATCTATACAGTGACAACTCACAGCTTCCATCTGTGCCCTCACCTCTCCTCTGAGCCTTAAGTTTTGACATCTGACTATCTCCTTGACATATCCAAACAGAAAATGCCTTTTGTCTGAATTTACTATTTTTCCTGTTTTCCCACCTAGAACCTCACTATAGGAATCTGAGTCTTCTCAACATGTACCACTCCTCCATCATCCCCTGATTACAGTCAGCAAAAGGTCCTTCAGTTCTCACCTCCATCGCACGTGAATTTGTGGTCTGCTTCAGCTTCCCCACATGTTCCCTCCATGCCCCCAACTTCATTTACTTACATTCCTGGTGCCATCTCTGAGCTCTTCACTTCCTCTGTGTTCTGCACAAAATAATCAAGGTGATCTTTCTGAAGGTCTTTCTGAATATCTTTCATCAGGTAGCATCTCCCCATCTCATTAACTTTTGTTGCTTTCTAGATAAAGCTCAAACTGTGGCCTGCAGGCCCTCCTAGGTCCAGCCCTGGCCCATCTCTCACCAGTCTTCCCACTTATCCTGGTCTCCAGCTCCAAGCTCTCTGCTTTATAGCCACACCAGTCTCTCTGGTTTGTCACATTATATACCTTCCTTTCCTTTTTTCTCAACTATTATCTCTCATCTCTTTGCATAGTTAAATCCTGTCTTCCATTAATTAACCCAACTACTACCGTATTACTTCCTCAGGGAAATTTTCCTAGACCCACTTCCCTCTGTTTACAGCAACTATACAGGTTTGGTTGGTTTGATTTGGTTTGGTTTTTTTGGTGGCAAGGCAAGCACTGTACCACTGAGCTACATCACCAGCCCTTTTTGGTTTTTTGAGGCAGGATCTCACTAAGTTGTCTAGACTGGCCTTGAACTTGCAGTCCTCCTCCCTTAGCCTCCCAAGTAGCTAAGATTATGGGCATATGTCACCACACACAACAACACGGTTTATTCTTATTTTGCTGATTATTTACTCAAAATCTGTTTTCCCTCTAGGCCAAAAGTTCCATGAGTATGTCTGCACACAGCCAGCACCCAGTATGTTTGTGAGTGAATGAATGAATATCTAGATGAGAAAGCATTCAGAGCCATCTCAAGCAGTTCCACACTGGTAGGCAAATGTTGGGCCAGCTGGATGAAGAGACTTTAGTCCTGCCTGTTGGCTTCAGTCAGTCTTCTTCAGCTTGTCCTAGTTTCACATCTTCACAGCAGAGTGAAAGCATACTTGGGCTTAGTTGACACTCCCTAGCTGCTCAGTGCCTATTACTATGACATCTGGCAGCAGTTACTTTGAGGCAACAGGGAGGCCCACAAGGAATGTGCCACTTCGTCATGTAAAAAGATATTTTGGCTAAAAACATCAAGTGCTGCATTTTACTCCGCTTCTTCCCTGCCTTATTAGGATCTGAAGACACAAAGATAAATAATAAACAGTGTCTCCCCTCAAAGAGCTCACACTCAGCTGGGGATAGTGACACATGCCTGTCAGTAATCCCAGCACTCTGGGAGGCTGAAACAGTAGGATTGCAAGTTGGAGCCCAGCCTGGGCAATTTAGTGACTTAGTGAGACCCTATCTCAAAATAAAAACTAAAAAGAGAGCTGGGGAGGTAGGTTTGCACAAAGGCCCTGGGTTCAATCCATAGTACTGCCAAAAAACGAAAGAGCTCAGAGGTAGAGGAGCCAAAAACAAATATTTCAACCCATAATACAAAGTTACATCACTGACGTGAAAAGGTGGAGAGATGATAAAAACAGTGTTTGTTGCCTGGCTGCTCTGTGCCTGGACTTGGATTAATGCTTTTATTTCTTACTGTAACTCTATGAGGCAGGTATTATAACTATCCTGTTTACAAGGGAGGAAATTGAGGCTTTGTGACGTTGACTTGCCAAGACTGCTAAGCTAGTAAGTGGCAGAGGCAGGGTACAATACCAGGTAGCATGGAGTCAGAGCTGTCTCTCTTCACTAGTCAGAGGGAAATCAGGAGACCAACAAGGTCTTCCAAGAGAAAGTGAAAGGGAAGCTGAGCTTGGAGCCAGGAGCACAAGAACAAGGAATGACACTCCAGGCAAAGGAAGCCAACCCCAGCCCAGAGCTTTGGAAGGAGGTGGTACATTTGAGCTCTATAAAGAGTTGGTGGTGCTAGAGCACAAAGCAGGAAGGAATAGCGACAGGGATGGGCAAGCTGAGCACAAACAGATGAGGCAGAAAATGGACTGCGAGGCTGAGGAACTCCTGAAGTCTGTGGAAGTCCATTTTGCCCTGCCATCTCATGTCTTGTGACTGCTGACCTCAGCAACCTCAGGGCTGAAGCTCTGAGCTCAATCTGTCTCTCTTACGGCAGGAGAGGTGCTGAGAGGGGACCGGATTGTCAACACCCCTTTCCAGGTTCTCATGAACAGTGAGAAGAAGTGTGAAGTTCTATGCAGCCAGTCCAGCAAGCCAGTAACCCTGACAGTGGAACAGAGCAGGCTCGTGGCTGAGCGCATCACAGAAGACTACTATGTTCACCTGTAAGTTGTTCTCTGCTCCCTGCTCACCTCACATTCCCCTAGGGGAGGGCACTGGTGGGAGAGCCTATTCAGAGGGACTGAACAGGACCTTGGGTTTCCAGCATTGCTGACAACCTGCCAGTGGCCACCCGGCTGGAGCTGTACTCCAGCCGTGACAGTGATGACAAGAAGAAAGAAAAAGATGTGCAGTTTGAACATGGCTACCGGCTCGGCTTCACAGACGTCAACAAGGTAGAGTGTCTCTGGTGTGCTCAAATGGGCTGGGGAGCTACACCTCACAAGTCACAAGCACCTGAGCCCACAAAGAAGGGAGAAAACTAAGCTCTAGGCTTAGAACAGATGAGGGTCTGCCAAGGAGATGATCCCTCAGAGGTATGCATGCTTTGGGCAGTGTTGCAGTTATTTTTCTCATTGCTGAGACACTATACCTGACCCCCAAAGTGAAAGGGGAAAAGGTTTATTTAGCTCACAGTTTGTAGAGGTTTCAGTCCATAATTGGCTGGCTCCAAGGCAGGGTGGCATGGCAAAGAGGCATCACAGAAGAGAAGCAGTTCATGGCAGGCAGAAGGTAACAAAGCAACAAGGGCCAACCGCAGCTCTTTCTACCCCTTATATCTTATCCAGGCTACTTACAGCAGGTAACACTCACACCCTTAATTCTATCATTGCACATGAATCAATTCCAGTGTCACACATTAGATCCAGCCACCTCCAAAAAAACCCCACCTGTGGCCTCATGAAGCTTTGGAGGGATGTCTAAACACAAGTCATAACAGGCAGCCTCTGGAAGATGCTACAAGAAGCTGAAGGCACAGTCACTAAAATGTTAGATTCCCTTTTTATACAATTCAAACAAGTGAAATCTGGAACTTTATCACTATCAGTGTGCAAGAGAGAGGACCACATAATGAGGAAAAGCCTACAAGGTCCCTGGTTTGAATCCTGCCACCTGTTGCCTGAGAGGCCTTGAGTCTGTATTTCTGTATCTATAATGGATGTGATAATGATCCCCACTCTCTGGGGTAGTTTTGCAGAGTAAATCAGACATCGCTGTGAGTGTCTCACAGCATTGCCCTAGGAATAAGCTGATAATCATGTATTACCATGGCTGATTATAGCTACATTCTCTTTCTATATGTAGTTTTCTAAGCTGAACACATATTACTTAGGGAATAAGGGACGTATACCTTTTGAGGCATAGACCCTGTCCTCAATAGGCTTCTGTTCTAACTGGGAGAGAATCAGCAGAGTGAGGCCCTGGATCTTGAATCCCAGTTGCCCACCCCTGGCTGTCAATGCTAGGGGAAATCAGGGAGCATGTTGTGCATTCACAGTGTCATGGTGGAAGAGCCAGACCTTGGAAACAAGTTAGGCTTCAGCTGAGTGGAGATGGGGGTGACATCCTCTTTGGAATGCATGCCATGAACAGAGATGCAGGATAGGGACTATTTGTGGGGCAGGGATGAGCTGGGGATGCTAATGTGTTTTAGAAGATAGTGAAGGCCAGCTGTTTTAGAATCAGATGATAGAAGGCCTTGAATGCCAGGCTAAGGGACTTAGGCTTATATCCAGTAAGGCCTAGGGAGGACTGTAGAGTTAGTGAGCAGAAAGGTGGTATGAGAGCAGTGTTTTTGAAAGGTTGGTACAGCCGGGCATGCTGAACAAGAGGAGGGCCCTAATGCTTTGGGTGTTCTCCCTGAGTGACTTTCTAGTTGTTTATAACTTGGCTGTTAGCTGTTTTGTCCTTTCTGTTGCTTCACTTCAGATCTACCTGCACAATCACCTTTCGTTCATCCTTTACTACCACCGGGAAGATATGGAAGAGGACCAGGAACATACATACCGTGTCGTCCGCTTCGAGGTGATTCCCCAGAGCATCAGGCTGGAGGGTGAGTGGGGAGGTCTGACCAGAGGGGCAGGGCTGGATGGGCCTGGGCTTCCATACCCAGGATCTTCTCATACTTCTGCCCCCTGAACTGGCCAGTAGGCCCAGGTATGGGCTTAGCCGCCATGAAGGGGTCACTGTATTACCAATTGAGAAGGTGGGAAGCGAGGGAGACCTGACACCTGTTGTGTCATAGGCTGAGCACCTTATTAGCTTACCACCTCTCACAAGCCCAGGAGCTAGGTGGTGATTATAGTTAAGGAGCCAGAAGTTCAGAGAAGTTAGTGACTTGGGCAAGACCAAACAGTAAGTCAGGGCTTTACTGAGCCTCTTTACAAGAAACAGCCAGCTCACCCTGAGTTGAAGAACAAGGGGCAAGGGGACAGCAGGTGTCTTTTTTTTTTCAGTACCAGGGATTGAACTCACAACCTTGCTCTTTCAAGACAGGCATGGCACCACTGAGCTAGATCCCCGGCCCAAGCAGGGGTCTTCTTTCAGTCCCTGTGTATGAGTGACTAGCACAGACTAAAATTGCCCAGGTCAACAGTTGAGTGAGAGTTGGAGTGCCCAGCAAGATTTCATATGGCCTGCCCTGCTTCATCTTTCCTCCCTGCCCTCACCCACCAGAGGGTGTTCTTCAGTTAAGCTCCAGGCCTGGCCTTTGTCCACAGTGGTGATTTTCTGGCTTTTTCAGAAATCTGTGGAACATAGCTTTCAAACAAAATCATACACAAGAGCCTCAAAAAACAGCTCTCATACTTTAAAAGCACCATGCTGCCTCTCCTGTGAGTGTCATGAGCACGGTTTACGTTTATGTATGTGACTATTTTGAGATCTCTGCTCCTACAGTGGCTGATTAAAATTAGAGTCTGTCTACTTTTCTCACCATTTTGTCTCCAGCACCCAGCACAGTACCTACCACATAGTGGTGCTTGTGGTATATTTACTGGCTAAAAGAAGGGGATGGATGGTAGAGGGAACAAATGAGTAAATGGGGAAGCACCTGCATGATTGGTTACTAAAGTACCAGAGACCACCTGTGTGAATGAGTAAAGAATGACCTTGGATGTGCTGGGTTTTGAATGGGCCTGGGTGAATGAGTGAGGTCATGTTGAGATTGAATGCATGAGACTGATTGCCATAAAGGAGGTCTGAACTCAGACTGTTTTCTCCCTCACTTCCCCATACACATGCCTGTCTAGAGTCCTGAAGGCTCTTTGGAAGGTCAGGGCTCTGGGGAATATAATTTTAAAAGCCATCCTTGCCTACTGTGCTCCCAACCTCCGCTCAGAACCCAGAGACCAGGGCCTAGCAGCAGGCATCCTCCAAAGTACCCACAGAACAGTCTTGGGTAGTGGCACTGGCCACCATGGGCATACACTGAATCTCTGTTTCTCACAGACCTCAAAACAGATGAGAAGAGTTCATGTACTCTGCCTGAGGGTACCAACTCCTCACCCCAAGAGATTGACCCTACCAAGGAGAATCAGCTGTACTTCACCTACTCTGTTCACTGGGAGGTAAGAAAGGACACAAGCTCATGGGTAGGGTGGGAAAGGTCTGATCTAGGCCAGGATTCGAGAGCAGGAGGCCTGACTATCATGGGCTTCCTCCCACCCCACCAGGAAAGTGACATCAAATGGGCCTCTCGCTGGGACACTTACCTGACCATGAGTGATGTGCAGATCCACTGGTTTTCTATCATTAACTCTGTCGTGGTGGTCTTCTTCCTATCAGGTGAGAACACTGTGGGTTGAAAAGTGGAGAGGACAGGTAGGCGGTGTTGAGGAACTGAGACATCCCATCACTTACAGGGATTTCTAAGGTGTTCTCAGGGCCAGACATCAGGACCCTATTGCAGGCATCAAATGATAGAAGTGGACAAGATTGGGTCTCTGCCCTGGAAATTTCACTAGAGAAGGATGGATACAACTCTTGATATACACGTTCATTGATTCATTGAGAGAGCCAGGGAAAGACTGTTTCAACAAGGGTCACAGCCCTGCAGTGAGGCAAGCTTGACAGGAAGCTCGATGGCAAGAGGGTGGTGGACAGAGGTGGAGTGATGCTGGTGGTTCCAGTATTATGACAAGCAAACATAGTGCTAGGTACTGTGCAGTAAACATTTACCAAAGAACCAGCTGCTGTCCTAAGCACTTTACAGACATCTCGGTCCTTCAGCCCCAAGAGTTTAAGTGAGTGCATTGTCACACAGCCTGTTCTTCTAACCACTGCACTCTCGTTCGAGAAGTAGGCAAGTAGAAGACAAATGTGGGAAGAGGGTGTCTGTGAACCAAAGATGCCCAGTGTGAGTCTTGGCACATACATAGGAGGCAGTCGGGGCAGGGGAAGAAAGGGGTAAAGGCAACAAACCAGCTGTGGAAGAGCTGGGATGCTTTTCTTCCTAACATAAAAAGAGTGTTCTGTGGCTTTCTCCTTCCATCTCAGCTGTCCTTTCTTTCTGCATACCTGTCCTCAGTTGGCTGGAGAGGATTAAGTAGCTGTGTGGCCAGGTCCTATTGGAGGAGGACACAGCACAATAGACTCTTGCCTCACAGCTCTTCCTCCCCACCCCTGTCTGTTTCAGGCATCCTGAGCATGATTATCATTCGGACCCTCCGGAAGGACATCGCCAACTATAACAAGGAAGATGACATTGTATGAGGTCTTGGCTTGGGAGGGATGGACTGGGAGAGGGAGCATAGTCTAGCAGACCAGTGTGTGTGTGTGAGATCATTCATAACTTCAGAAATACTGAAAAGGAGGAAAAAAACTAATCACCCAGAGTGATAGAGATGGGATTTCTGGTCTCAAGTACAAATACAATAGAGGTTGCAGAAAGAAAATTTATATGACATTAAAAATGTTAAAACTATTTTGCATGTCAGATTTATAAGTAAAACAAAAATGAAGTGTATATTTATAATAAACTTAAACTAATACATTTGGAAGAATTTATATAAAATTCCCTTTAAAGAACCAAAAACCTAAAATCACTAATGTAATGATGAACAGAAAATTTACAATAAGGAACTACCTGTGGCCAGTATGCATCTGAAAAAAATGTTTTTACCTCAGGGATAACCTCCTAAAATGCAATCATTTGGACTATCAAGTCATCGCGGACTGGCTTTTTTTTTTTAATAGTACTAATTGTTGGCAAAGTTAACACCAGACAAACACTTTCCCGAATTCCCCCATGGAAGGTTAAATTGGCAGTCCTCCGAAAAGCAATTGGGACTTCATCTCAAGAACTGTAAAACAGGCAACTTGCGTTGGCACAGCAATTCTTCTAGGATTTTCCTAAGGAAAGAATCAAAAAATCCAAAAACTAGGTTTTAGAAATATTTATCCCAGCTTTGAAATAAATTTTCAAAGAGTATTTATTGACATGAAATGTTCACAAACATCATCTGAAAATAACTAATATGATCCAAATTTTATTATTTAAAACATATATATAGGCACATAAACATACCTAAAAGACTAAAGGAAATAAAACATTGGCCTCATTTTATGTTAATGTATAAACATTACTCAACTATAGCTTATTTTTCATCTTTTTATATTTTAAAATTTTTTTTTTTTGGTACTGAGGATCAAACTCGGGTCCTTGCCCTTGTGAGGCAGGCGGTAGAACCACTGAGCTAAATCCCCGGCCCTATATTTTTTAATTTTTCTACATGAAACTTTTTTTTTGTTCATTTAAACTTCATGATGTATACCAAAATTTTTAAACTTTCTTACACAAATAAATACATATTTCTTTTATAAGCAGAAAATAAATAGTTTCTAAATCTCACCACCCAAGAACTACTAAATTAACATCGATATGTTTACATGATTTTTCTTCCCACTAGGTTTGTGGAATTGGGGAGATAGATAGATAGATAGATAGATAGATAGATAGATAGATAGATGGATATATAGCTACAGGAGGTGTGTTTGTGGCCTCCTTTCCCCATGTGACCCTCCTGTGTCAGAGCAGAGCTGTTTGACACCTGAGGGACCCTCAGGAAACCTGGGCCCTTGAAGGTGGTTCCTGCAGGAGCTGTCCCCATCCTCACGAATCTGCCTCACTTTCTGGCCCTTTGCTGCAGGAAGACACTATGGAAGAATCTGGGTGGAAGCTGGTACACGGTGATGTCTTCAGGCCACCCCAATACCCCATGATCCTCAGCTCCCTGCTGGGGTCAGGCATTCAGCTCTTCTGTATGATCCTGATCGTCATCTGTGAGTGTTCTGGTTGGTGCAGGGGCCCAGAGGAGCATGGCCTGCCTGACCCTGACACATGGCTATCTCTCCATGAACCTCAAGAGAAGAGGGCAGGCTTCCCTCCCTGGAGAAGGGCCAAACACTTGGCACTAAGCAGATGTGTCAGCTTCTCGGGGCTAAACAGCTACCTGTCCGTCCCAGCAGCAGCCCTAGCCCCTGGAATGCTGATCCTCCTTGCAGCTTCCCTGCTCCATTTATAGAGCCCAGTGTGTCTACCCTGTCCATGAGGCCACATCACACTGTGAAGTTGGCCACCTTTTGTAGTCAGGTTAAGTGCCTGACCCAAAGTCAATACCAGGTTTAGTACTGGACTCAGGGCATTTTTCTTTAACAAATAAAAAACACTAATATATAGTAGTTACAGACAGGTCTAGAGTCAGTCTGCCTAAACTTGTATCTTAACCTCATGCCTCCAAGCCTTAATGACCTTAGACAAGTAACTAAACCTTTCTGAGCCTGTTTCCTTGTCTGAGAAATAGAGAAAAATCTCCACTTTGCAGAGTTGTAGGGTACATTCAGTGCCCTGTGGACTAGAAGCTGCAATTAAGATTAATCCAGTCCAGGCCCAGCAGCTGTCATACCCCTCTGAACCCCACCTAAGAACCAGTCTTTCCCTGTATAGGGGACAGAACCATGTTGTTGAGAAGGCCAAAGGAGAAGGGAACCTCTTCTAGCCCCCTCTGCCCAGGGTCCTATCAGCCTGCTCAGGTAGGATCTGGGGGCCTGATGATCAGCCAACCTGAGCCTGACTCTGCCATCCCCCTACCCCCACAGTTGTGGCCATGCTTGGGATGCTGTCGCCTTCCAGCCGGGGAGCTCTCATGACCACAGCCTGCTTTCTCTTCATGTTCATGGGGTAGGTGTGTGAGAGAGGTTCTCAGGGGCCAGCACAAGCCTCCTTCATACCACTAACAGGCCCCCTTGGTGTGGACTCCTGCCCTTTTCCCACAGGGTGTTTGGTGGATTTTCTGCTGGCCGTTTGTACCGCACTCTAAAAGGTCATCGGTGGAAGAAAGGAGCCTTCTGTGTAAGTGTCTTAAAGCAATCAGTGGGTCTGAAAAGGTCCTTGATAGGCTTCCCAAGAGGAATGTAGACCTGCCCTATGGGGTTTTCAGGCTAAAGACTGAGCAGCAGTGTGATGGAGCAGGAGGACCTTGCACCCAGGCATCAGCAGTTCTGGGTCTTTACCCCACAGGTTTGAGACAGGACCTCTCCAGGCCTTAGTTGGACCATCTATAAAATGAAGGGTTTGAATTTGGGTGGCTCAAGCAAGAGATAGACTAGAGGATTCACATAGAAAGGATGACAAGGCTGCAGGAGAACCCCCTGCCCAACAGGATAGAGAGACTGGCCTTCCAGGGTAGAAGAGGCCAGGCTTATGTGACCACAGCCTGTTTTCCAGACTTGGTGCCTCTGTTGCTCTCCAATGAAGATGGCTCCTGCCCTTCTCTCCCCTACTGAGAATGAGGAAAGATCTTGGCACCAAAAAAGACCATAGAACTAGAAGCCTGGGGCCACCTCACCTGCCAGGGAGCCCTGAGTCCCTCCTTCCTGCAAAGTTTTTTCCTATTCATACTCCTGGTATCTAGTGTAGTACCTGGACCATAAATTTTGGCCACCAAGGTAGATTCCCTGCACACAGCAGAGTGAAGAGAACCACAAAGGAAAGAACCAAGTGACATTTGACCTGGTCCTTGAAGAGGAAAATTTCAGATGGAGGGAAGCAGTCAGCAGAAGGGCCTTGGGTTCTACAGCTGCCCAGATCCTAGTCCTGGCTCTGTTCCTACCTGGTCTGTTAGTCATGAATGGCCCTCTGAGCCTGTTTTCCTATCTCTCCAATGGGGATAGTTGCATCTGCCTCTCAGGGTTGCATGGGTAGAAAGGGACTGAGTGTAAGATCTGGTATGGCATTAGTGCTCGGGAAGCTGATACCTGCATAAAGACCCAGTGTCAGAAAAATGTAGGAGCAGTGACCAGCTGTTGGGTGGGAGGGGCGGTAAGACAGAGGCAAACCTGGCAGCAGAGTATGGGCACCAGGTTGCAGAGGTCCGTGGTGATCATGGGCAGTGCATAAAAAGAAGGAGGCTCAAGTTTAAATCTGGGGCTGTGGTTGCCTGTGCCTCGACACCAGCCCAGGAGATTCTGACAAACTAGAATATACCACAGTAGGTCAGGAGGTGGGTTCTAGTGTCATACTGCCTAGGTTTGAACCTCTGCCCCACCCTTGGGAAACTAAAGATGGGGGGCAGCGGCAGGAGCAACACTTAATGTCTCTGGGCCTCAGTGTCCTTGTCTTTAAACGAAATAATGTTAGTCCTTCCCTGCTAATCATGTAGTGAGGATAAGGTGCGATAAAGCATGCAGAGCCCAGCATTTGCCATCCCTAAGACGCATTAAAGCTTACTTAGCATTATTCCAAAAGGTTTAGGATGGGGCCTATGTGTTTAAGAAGTTTTGTTATTTGTGCACTCAGCAGCTCTTTTTCTAACAAGTATTTATTGAGTAGCTACTATGTTGTCTGGTGGGAGTACATCAGAGAACATGGTGGATTCATCCTCCCAAGGAGCTTACAGTCTGCTGGAGAGAGGAAGCCTTTGATCAGGTAGCACAATGCATACAGATGCTTGTCATTTTAGGGTGGGATTACATCCCGGTGGCCCCATCATAAGTTGGTAATATCCTGAGTTGGAAATGCATTTATTGTACCTAACTTATCAAATATCATAGTACAGTTTACTGAATTCGTATCACTTTCACACCATTGGAAAGTAAAGAAATCATCAGTAGGGGCGGGGGATTTAGCTCAGTGGTTCTGGTGCCTGCCTCGAAAGCACAAGGTCTCGAGTTCGATCCCCAGTACCAAAAAAAGAAAGAAATCATTAGTAGAGCCTTCATAAGCTGGGGGCAACTGTAATTACACACTTGGATGGAAGCAAGAGAGGTGCAGTTTCAGGGATCTGAGTGAGAGGTGTGTAGACCTGAGGTCTATCTAGTCTGGGTCAGTGAATACTTCCAGGAAAAACTGGTTCTTGAGATGAGTTTGCTGGAAGGACAAGGAAGGGTTGAAGCAGGGACCTCCCTGGATACAGTTCCCAACCTGGCCCCTCTTGTTCCCAGACGGCAACACTATACCCTGGTGTGGTTTTTGGCATCTGCTTCATACTGAATTGCTTTATCTGGGGAAAGCACTCGTCAGGAGCGGTAAGTGTCCTCACCCTGCCCCCGCCCACTAAGGGGACTGTGACACAGCCCCACTCCCCAAGGCCACTTCCTGTTGTTTCCTTCCCTTTTCTGAGTCCCCAGAGTTCTGTTCCCAGCCCTGGGGGTAAGGGCTGGTTGGGGTTTCCCCAGCACTGTCCATTGTTTGCCCATGTCCTAAGCCCTGGCCTATATGGGCTCTCAGACAGCTGGCCAAAGCTCACTTCTCTAAAGGAAGGTTTCCATTGTCCAGGGGCCAACTGGGGTGTTCCCCTTTGTGTCAACCAAGGTGGAGCTGCTTGGTGTGAATGTATTAGGTCAGTAGCCCAAAACAGGGCTCTCCTTGAGTCCCACCTACCAATCAGCACCAGTCCCTGCAGGTAGAGGCAGAGAGGATGGGAAGGGGCAGGTGGTCTGATCCTTAGAATGGGGATCCCAACAGCCTTAGTCCATTGTGTTGCTAGCAGCTGTCCAGGACTCACTGAGTAGGGTTTTGAACTGATTTGAGGATGGGGGAAATGGAGTCTTGGTCAGTTAGCAGGGTTGTGGTAGAGGTGGGGCAGCCACCTGTGCCCTATCTGCACGTGCCTGTTAAAAAGTCCCTGAGTGAGGCTCTAAGTCCTGGCTGCAGAGGACTAGCCTCACCCAGGAGCCATGGAAGCCACCCTCCAGAAATACAATCTTACCTGACCTCTCACTTCCTCTTTTTTTTTTTTTTTTTTTTGGTACCGGGATCGAACTTGGGTCTTTGTGCTTGCAAGAGGCAGGTAGTGGAACCACTCACTTCCTCTTTTTTTAATACCCGTGTTCCTGCTTTCCAACATTTTCCTGCCGATTACCAGATGCACAGTTCAGACACTTGGAGAAATTTCGGAAAGTACAGAGAAGTAAAAGAAGTTAAAAATAACATAATCCAACCACCCAGAGATATATAGTCTTTTTTCCATATAGACTTATTTAAAATGGAATTAGTGGGCCAGGAATTTAGCTCAGTGGTTCCGGCACCAAAAAAAAAAACAAAAAACAAATAAAATGGAATTAGTAATTTACCAAAAAACTCAGATGTTTACATGGTACTTTG